ATTATTTATGATGTCCATAAAATTAATAAGTGATACTTAAAAAATTCATACTAATATGATTTTTATTAAATATTTTAATACTTTTAATAATTTTTAACAACTATAAAAGAATCAAATATTTATTTAAATATACATATAATATGTGAATTATTGTACATCTATAGATACGGCCAGTGTAAAATGGATTGATTTTCATATTATATTGTATTTTAATTAACATTTTTTTAATAATTTTGATGAACATAAAACCATATTGCATTGATTAATTTGGTTGTTTTATATACTTAAAAGTTTTAATAAATCCAACTTATTRTATGACCATTTAATGTATTATTATTGATTAGATTAGATTATGTTTAAATTTTTTTTCGTAAAATTAAATAATATGAAAAACCAAAGTGAAGCTTTTAATAATTCTGGAAGAATGTAATTTTCCACATGTTCTGTTTGAAATAATTTTGTATATATATATAATATCATAATTCATCATTATCTTTAAATCTGTTATAATAATAATGCTCCAATGTGTCTGGCGTCAAGATGATTGAAACGAGACGTGTACTCGACACCAAGTATACTGTGTGGCTTATTATCTTTTACATAATATAAAATATATGATTATAATCCGTACCTAGATATACGATAATTTGCAAAATCAATGAAATGTCACGTTCAATTTTTCATTTTAATCGATAAAAAAGCTCTATAATATCATAATATTAAATGTTTAAGCAAACGTACAGCGTTTATTCTGAACCATTCATGTATGCGTTACTGACCAAATATTATATGATAAGTGAGCTAGACACGTATAAACTGATAATAATTATATAATTTGTGTTAAACTTCAATTGGCTGAACGACTCAAATATCCAATAATTCYTGATATAATATAATATATTTTTAAATAAATAAATGTTAGATATTTGTGACGGTAAGATAAATATTTTATCGGAAAATAAATTCAGAATTCGAATGATTACAACAGACGAGATACATCACGTAATTATACACTTTAGAACACCTATAGTAAATTGATATTATTCTAGTTGAGAACAGATCGCGAATACTAACCAAATATTTTTCAATCTGTATTAATAGTATTGTTTATGTCAATTTTTTAATTTATTATTTTAAATTCATATATTCAATYATTTTAATAAAATTTAACGYCAAGACTCCATAATGATCGTTGAAAGTATATTATTATATTTCATCGAAGAAGAGATTTAATTTTATATCGTATCATATTATATTGTATTATGTTAAAGTTTGTGTGTAATATGAATATTATGTAATCCATAGGTTTAGGCAATGTAAAATAGTAGCACAAGTAGCATTTGTTCGTTTCATTCAAATTAATTAAATTCCAAGTAAATTAACGATGTATAAATTCCCACTAAGTTAATGCATTTAATGTGGGGAAGTTTTTTTAATATTATGGTAGTATGTATAATATTCATAATTTGTAATGCATAATAAATATTCCTTTGCTATACATAAATGTGTGTACTTTCTGCACAATGTTATTCMCTTGATAAGTATATGAATTGAACARTTCTGTAATATTCAGATTGTACCACGAGGACTTGGCCATTTACACTAAATTTACATAATCAAATATCAAATCCTGCAGTGATTCATTCTGTGTATTAAATTTAAAAAAAAA